GTACATTCTTTCACCTTTGGTGGACATGCCCAAGGATTAAGACATTCTGGGAGATGATTTATAACGAAATGAAAAAGATATTTAAATATACTTTCCTGAAGAAACCAGAGGCCTTTCTCCTGGGCATGGTCGGCCAAATGGTGCCAAAGAAGGATAGAACTTTTTTTATGTATGCAACAACAGCAGCAAGAATACTTATTGCGAAGTATTGGAAGACACAAGATTTACCCACCCGGGAAGAATGGCAGATGAAGTTGATGGACTACATGGAACTGGCGGAAATGACTGGCAGAATCTGAGACCAGGGAGAAGAGTCGGTGGAAGAAGACTGGAAAAAGCTTAAAGACTATTTACAGAAATACTGTAAAATTAATGAATGTTAGAAAAATGTTGGAATGAAGTTATATGGCTTTAGTAGAAATGTTATAAGGAACTAAGTATAAATAGATTAATAGAGTATTAAAGGAAAAAATAAGGTTAGAATGTGTCAAGATAATTATAGGATAGAAAACAGAGGAAGATGGAAAGGAATTGCTGAAACAATTAACAGAAGTGGAATACAAAAAGGGAGGTGTGAGGAGGTCGTTGAAATAAGTGAATGAAAGATAAGATATTGAAATTGTTTGATGTGTTTTAAACGGTTTTTGTTTTGTTTTGTTAGTTTAATGTGTTAGTGTTATGTAGTGTCTTTGTATTGTATTGTATTGCCTTTTTTGTGTTTAAATTGTTGGAAAAGTAATAAATATTATTTTTAAAAAAATAAAAAAAAGATTAACACAACTCAGCAGCACCTGCTATGTTTCACAGCTGCAAGGCTGGGTCTCGTTATTTGCCCTGGCCCTGGCCCTGGCCCTTAAAAGACATACACAACTTGTGAAGCAATAATGAACCTTCACATTTTAAAGTGACCATTCAACAGTAACCAGACATGAATTAGATTGAGCTAATGAGATCAATAGTGGGTTCAATAGCCAAGAAGGCTGTTTCTGCCAGAGGAGTCTCTTTATAGCTGGAAGTGTGAGGGCCTGGGCCTGGCTCCCTAGTCCAGCTGGTAAAGTCTTTGTAAGGGAGCAGGCCTTGCACTCCTCACCACAGCCGACGGTGACCCTTGGGTCCTTTTCAACTCTAAGATTCTATGGTTCCAACAACAACAATGGGAAAAAAGAACCATTCATGCAATGCTGCTCAAAACGTAGATGCCCAAGACAGTTGTTTACCATATAATATCAACTGTGAGTGACAAAACTTCTCCATATGTGTATTTGGTTATGGGATGGTTGATGCCTGTTAGGCTCAGCATTGCCAAAAGATAGAAAGCTCTACCAAATGGAATAGAAACAGTCTGTTTTTGTCTCCCTGCCGCTAAGCCCTCTCTGGCATGTTAGATGTTCAGAGAGTGCGGTGTCCCATAACCTTCCTTAACCAACAATACCGGGATGGGGATCTGGATTTCCAGTGACTAGCAATGGAGATTTTAGCTGCTGCTTAGAACATAAATACAAGAGGTTAGTGGTCAATGGTTGGGTTGTATTGCTTTCTAGAGAAAGTAATGCCAAATCTGGATCCATTGCCAAGGGTTGACCCACAATAATAGGAATTAGATTGAACACTTGGGTCCACAGGTCATTGAGAATGCAGACACTGCCATGAAATCATTTAGTATCCTCTGCAAAGGAAAAGGGGTTTTAGCTTGGATTGTGGAGCATCAGTGATATATAATCTGTGAAAATATTCAGTTTATGTTCATCTCCTTGAACCCTGATTGAAGGAATGGGTTTCCCAAACCTAAACTTGATTGTGCAGTCAGTCTGCAACAGGCCCCAAAATCCCCATTTTTCCTTCCCCAAGGGTCCATTAGCTAAAATCCATTAACTTGAGGAGTTGAGCTCATGTATAACAGGAACCCAGCTGTATAAACAAAGCCCTCTCCTTTATCAGTACGTGACGCTTAAAGGATGGCCTTGTCAGTTCCGAAGTGGAGACGGGACGGGCAGAGCTGGGGCTTACCTTGTGGGTTGTAAATATCCTGACACACTGACGCACAGACCTTGCAAGACACCCCCGCGCTCGGGGATGGCGCCAGGAGTGCTCTTAGAGTTAGTGATCTTCTTACCCCAAGATAAGGAATACAGGAACAGGAACATCCTTTTATGGTCAATAGTACAGGAACAGGAACAACTGTTTATGGTCATGGATGTCAACTTACGTATATAAGCTGATGTGGCTGGATTTCTGGGATGTCAACTTACGTGTATAAGCTGACGTGGCTGGACTCCTGGGGAGGGGTCAAGGGGACCAGAAAGGGTATATAAACTGTGTGTAACCGTTCCTTAAGTGCTCTTGCTGTGAACTGACCATGCAAGTGCCTTTCTGCTGCTCCGGAGAGCAGAAATAAAGAACTCTTCCTCCGAACCAACCTCAATGTCTTTTGACTCTTTCCTCCCTCTCCGGGAGCAACGCTCACCCAACCAATCGGTAAAGTCTAATAAGGCTACATGATGTCTTCAGTACCCTTGTGAGATGTTAGGTGTTCTGCTAGCATTCTACTTGTAGATGGAACTTTCCCTGCCTATATGACGATGGGTGTGACTTACCCCAGAGCCATTTGTCCTGTACGCTAATTTTATTTATTAAACAATATTCACACACCACTTAATCATAAAGACCTAACTGTGCTTTACACAGAAACAATCTGTAATATTCATCATGATAAAATAAAAAAATGGAAAACAAGTAGATGTAACAAAATGTATCGATATAGAGATGAAGTCAACAGTTTTAGGTAAAAATACATCCAATAAAATTACATGTATTATTAATTATTACTTGTAGCTTTTAACAACTCCCTTTGATAATAAGATGGTTGATTTATTTTACGTTTTGAAACACCGTGGAGATAATATCTGGTGGGATTCATAAACTTGTTTACATCATTCCATGCTCAATAAAAACATCATAAAAAGGATATTGTGGCAAATTGGTGTCATTTGGAAGAGCTCAACATCTATCGTGCTTCCTTGTAAGTCTATTGTGGTTTGAGGTTCTGCAGCTTTGATTTGAATTCATTCATTCAGCCCTTCAGATGCTCTTGTTTTTGCCACTTTGAAGGGATATAAGAACAATTTCAAAGCACCTGACTCTTTTTTATCTTGGCCACAAGATTCATACTCAATAGCAGAGTTACTGTTTTTCAAACAGAAGGCTCGAGATCCAATATTTTTCCAAAAGGGTATGAGGTAGCTTAGCAGGACTAGTGAAGACATCAACCTGAGACCCTGGAGAGCTGCTACAATTTGGAATAGACACCAATTGTATGACTCTTTAAAAGGCAGGGTAAGATAGGCGTGCTCCTCAATAAAATATTCTAGTGGTGTTCAGAGTTATGCCTTGTGATGCTGCTAATTTTTCAATTGACGGGAATATTGTGAAGCCTCAAACTCTTCAGCTCACTTGCCTCTGTGCGCCTTCATCAGTTTGTGGGCTGTAGCCAGACATTCAATCACAGTGGAATTACATCAATTAAAAGAATACAGAATTTTAATCTACAGTGATGAACTATGCCAAGATGTTGTCTGATTGCTAAAATTTTAGTTCTGTGGAAAATGCAGTTTTGTAAACTGGCTCTAACGTCTCGCTAACTTGGGAGCAGACATTCCCAGGATTCCTTGAAAGGGAAATATCAGACTCTGCAGTGTAGACTTGTTGGTCAAGTGAATGTAATAATATGGCTATGGGGTGACACAACTATTTTGCTGGTTGCACAATTGTTGTGCCAGGCTCTATCTACTGAGGCCGGCTCTACCATTGGGCAAATGGAGGCGGCCTTTTCTCAGGCAGCTGTATGGAGTGATGTTTAAAGGTCATAAAATCATTTGTTCTTTAATTTGCTACTTTAATTTGCCTAATTTACATTATGCATTTTTACGGTCCTGTTATGCATTTTCTGTTTTTATATTGTAAACTGGCCTGTGATATTCAGTTGAAGGACATAAATTTAATAAATAAGAAAAATAAATAATAATTTTATGAACAAGTAATTCCCCCCGTATTTTTATATGAAAAGTCAGCTGTTGAGCACTGTTGCAATCTGTAACACCTTTAAAGTTTATTTTCAGATGCAGCATCAATGGGAAGAGAAAATCATACAATGGTGACAGAATTTATCCTTGCTGGATTTTCCAATTTCCCAGAACTGCAGATTCCATTGTTTCTGGTGTTCTCTCTAATTTACCTGATAACTTTGATGGCAAATATAATCATCATCACTACGATATGTCTTAACCGCAGCCTCCACATCCCCATGTACTTCTTCCTCTCCATCCTCTCCTTCTCAGAAATCTGCTACTCACTTGTCATTATCCCCAATATGCTTGCAAATCTTCTAAGAGAGAAGAAGACCATTTCCTTCATTGGCTGTGCCACTCAGATGTACATTTTCCTGGGCTTTGCATTCACAAATTGTTTTCTTCTAGCAGTGATGGGGTATGACCGATATGTCTCCATATGCAAACCTTTACGTTATCAGATTTTGATGAATCAAAGACTCTGCTCCAAGCTGGTGGCTTGTTCAGCAACAACTGGATTTCTTTTTTCCACCTCAGAGACTATAATCATATTTACCTTGCCTTTCTGTGGGCCAAATAAAGTTAAGCACTTCTTTTGTGAAATAGAACCTTTGCTTGAATTAGCCTGCGGCCGAAATTACATAGGTGAAATCGTCATTTTCATTATTTGTGTTTTGGTTGTAATTTGTTCATTCCTGTTCATCCTTCTCTCGTACATTTTAATTGCAAACACTGTCTTGAAAATCCCCACAACGGCTGGGAAGCGTAAAGCCTTTTCCACTTGTGCCTCCCATCTTATTGTGGTCGTGGTGCACTTTGGGTGTGCTGGCATTATCCATTTCGGGCCCAAAAACAGTTACACGCTAGATCAGACTATTTTTATTTCCGTCTCTTACACAATGGTGACTCCGTTGTTGAACCCCTTGGTGTACAGCCTGAGAAACAAAGATGTCCAAATAGCGCTTAAGAAATCGCTTGGCAAAAGCTCCTGCACCCAAAGAATGTGAAAATTAAGCGTTATCCACTTTGAAGAGGAATTATGAAACCCAACAAATACTGTATCTGTAGTTTAATGGACAAAGAACACCTCAAATAGTATTGTAGCTTTTCCTCATCTTTTTAAAAATTCATCTGTATATGGAATGTTCACTTGGAAAAATGTGGCCTTGCTTTAGCATTTACAGACAACTTTGATTTTCTCTTTAGTACATCACTGGAAAATAAATCGGGTTGTGGGAATTTTCTCATAAATGAACCTGTAATCATTCAGCCCCGCAACAAAGGAAATGTTTCCAAAGATTACTGTTGTTTTCTCCCAAATCCTAGCCCTCATTTTCTCTACCAATCATTCACGCAGAACTATTTCAAGCTCATATAGTGCTGAGACTGAAGTGTCAAAATTGTTCCTGTTGAATGGCTGGTACCAGTACATACCCTGGCCGAGGCTCCTCTTGTCTGCCATTTAACCCTCTCTCTTCGTAACTGCTTCCTTCACTGGGAGCTGGCTCATTCATGACACGTCCCTTGCTACTCTAAGATTCTATGATTCCAACAACAGCAATGGAAAAAAGAACCATTCATGCAATGCTGCTGAAAACGTAGGTGCCCAAGCCAGGTGTTTACTATATAATATCATCTATATAATACCATATAATATCAACTAAACATATGGAGAAGTGACATAACTTCTATATATGTTTATTTGGGCTATGGGACGGTTGATGCTTGTTAGGCTCAGCATTGCCAAAAGATAGAAAGAGGTACCAAATGGAATAGAAACATTCCGTTTTTGTCTCCCTGCGGCTAAATCCTCTCTGGCATGTTAGGTATTCAGAGAGTGCAATTTCCCATAACCTTCCAAACCAACAATACCGGGATTGGGATCTCGATTTCCAGTGACTAGCAATGGAGATTTTAGCTGCCGTTAAGAAATTAAATACTAGAGGTTAGTGGTGAATGGTTGGTTTGTATTGCTTTCTAGAGAAAGTAATGCCAAATCTGGATCCATTGCCGAGGTTGAATCCACAATAATAGAAATTAGATTGAACACTTGGGTCCAGAAGTCATTGAAAATGCAGATATTGCCATGAAATTATTTAGTATCCTCTGCAAAGGATAAGGGGCTTAGCTTGGATTGTGGAGCATCAGTAATATATAATCTGTGAAAATATTCAGTTTACGATCATCTCCTTGAACCCTGATGTCTTCAGTACCCTTGTGAGATGTTAAGTTTTGTGAGATGGAATTTTCCCTGCCTTTTTGACAATGGGTGTGGCTTACCCCAGAGCCATTTGTCCTGTATGCTATTTTTATTTATTAAACAATATTCACACACCACTTAATCAGAGAGACCACACTGCTCTTTACACAGAAAAAGTCTGTAATATTCATCATAATAAAATAAAAAAATTGAAAACAAGTAGACATAATAAAACGTATCGCTATAGAGATGAAGTCCACAGTTTTAGGAAAAAATACACCCAATAAAATTATATGTATTGTTAATTATTACTTGTAGCTTTTAACAACTCCCTTTGATAATAAGACGGTTGATTTATTTTACGTTTTGAAACACCGTGGAGATAATATCTGGTGGGATTCATAAACTTGTTTACATCATTCCATGCTCAATAAAAACATCATAAAAAGGATATTGTGGCAAATTGGTGTCATTTGGAAGAGCTCAACATCCATCGTGCTTCCTTGTAAGTCTATTGTGGTTTGAGGTTCTGCAGCTTTGATTTGAATTCATTCATTCAGCCCTTCAGATGCTCTTGTCTTTGCCACTTTGAAGGGAAATAAGAAAAATTTCAAAGCACCTGACTCTTTTTTATCTTGGGAACAAGATTCATACTCAATGGCAGAGTTACTGTTTTTCATGCACAACGCTCCAGATCCAATATTTTCCGGAAGGGGTATGAGGTAGCTTAGCAGGACTTGTGAAGACTGCAACCTGAGACGCTGCAGAGGTGCTACAATTTGGAGTAGACACTGACTGCATGACTCTTTAAAAGGCAGCTTAAGATAGGCATGCTCCTCAATAAAATATTCTAGTGGTGTTCAGAGTTATGCCTTGTGATGCTGCTAATTTTTCAATTGACAGGAATATTGTGAAGCCTCAAACTTCAGCTCACTTGCCTCTATGCTCCTTCATCAGTTTGTGGGCTGTAGCCAGACATTCATCCACAGTGGAATTACATCAATTAAAAGAATACAGAATTTTAATCTATGGTGATGAACTATGCCAAGATGTTGTATGATTGGTAAAATTTTAGTTCTGTGGAAAATGCAGTTTTGTAAACTGGCTCTAATGCCTCACTAACTTGGGAGCAGACATTCCCAGGATTCCTTGAAAGGGAGATATCAGACATTCAACTCTGCAGTGTAGACTTGTTGGTCAAGTGAATGTAATAATATGCCTAAGGGGTGACACAATTATGTTGCTGGTTGCTCAACTGTTGTGCCAGGCTCTATCTACTGAGGCCGGCTCTACCATTGGGCAAATGGAGGTGGCCTTTTCTCAGGCAGCTGTATGGAGTGATGTTTAAGGCACATCAAATGGCTTTTTTAGAAATTTGTTATTATTGCATTTTTACGATCACTTTATGCATTTTGTGTTTTTATGTTGTAAAGTGGCCTGTGATAGTCAACTGAAGGGCAGTACATAAATTTAATAAAGAGCAAAAAATTAAAAAATCATTTTATGAACAAGCCTCTCCCCAAGTATTTTTATATTAAACATCAGCTGACGAACACTGTTGAAATCTGTAATATGTTTAAAGTTTATTTTCAGATGCTGCATCAATGGCAAGAGAAAATCAAACAGTGGTGACAGAATTTATCCTTTCTGGGTTTTCCAATTTCCCAGACCTGCAGATTCCCTTGTTTCTGGTGTTCTCTCTAATTTACCTGCTAACTTTGTTCGCAAATATAATCATCATCACTGCGATACGGCTTGACCGCAGCCTCCACATCCCCATGTACTTCTTCCTCTCCGTCCTCTCCTTCTCAGAAATCTGCTACTCACTCGTCATTATCCCCAATATGCTCGCAAATCTTCTAAGAGAAAAGAAGACTATTTCCTTCATTGGCTGTGTTACTCAGATGTTCCTTTTCCTGGGCTTTGGGTGTACAAATTGTATGCTTCTAGCAGTGATGGGGTATGACCGATATGTCTCCATATGCAAACCTTTACGTTATCAGATTCTGATGAATCAAAGACTCTGTACCAAGCTGGTGGCTTTTTCAGTATCACTTGCATTTATTTTTTCTACATCAGATACCATTATCATATTTACCTTGCCTTTCTGTGGGCCAAATAAAATTAAGCAAATTTTTTTGCGATATTGCACCTTTGCTTCAATTAGCCTGCGGCCGAAACTACATAGGAGAAATTGTCATTTTCATTCTATGTGTTTTGGTTGTATTTTGCTCATTCCTGTTCATCCTTCTCTCTTACTTTTTAATTGTTAACACTGTCTTGAAAATCCCCACAACGGCTGGGAAGCGTAAAGCCTTTTCCACTTGTGCCTCCCATCTTATCGTGGTTGTAGTGCACTTTGGGTGTGCTTCCATTATCTATTTAAGGCCCAAATCCAGATACACGCTAGATGAAGACACTTTTATTTCTGTCTCTTACACAATGGTGACTCCCTTATTGAACCCCTTGGTGTACAGCCTGAGAAACAAAGATGTCCAAATAGCGCTTAAGAAATCGCTTGGCAAAAGCTCCTGCACCCAAAGAATGTGAAAATTAAGCGTTATCCACTTTGAAGAGGAATTATGAAACCCAACAAATACTGTATCTGTAGTTTAATGGACAAAGAACACCTCAAATAGTATTGTAGCTTTTTCTCATCTTTTAAAAAATTCATCTGTATATGAAATATTCATTTGGAAAAATGTGGCCTTGTTTTAGCATTTACAAACAACTTTGATTTTCTCTTTAGTGCATCACTGGAAAATAAATTGGGTTTTCGGAATTTTCGCATACATTAACCTGTAATCATTCAGCCCCGCAACAAAGGAAACGTTTCTAAAAATTACTATTGTTTTCTCCCAAATCCTAGCCCTCATTTTCACTACCAAACATTCATGCAGAACTATTTCAAGCTCATATAGTGCTGAGACTGAAGTGTGAAAATTGTTCTTGTTGGGGTCAGGTTGGTGTCCATTTCTGCTTATCTTTGGTACGTAATTATTTCTGCCCTTCCTTGTCCCCAGTAATGGCTATTTTTAAAGAGGGGATCATATATGTTCCGTTTTCAAAGGTTGGAATTCATGTAACCAGACACACTTAATTTCTGCTCTTTTGCTTTCATGTGATTTGTTCTGACATTTGCTTTCTGTAACGTGTCGGCAAGGACGTAACAATATATTGTATATAAAACGGAGCATTGCAATTTTTTGATATGCATTTATCTTAGCATTCATATTTATATAATTTAAACCTGACGCTTTAATTACTTTCAGAAACATGCCAAAAGAAAGGGTATAACATGTTATTTGCCCATTACTTAATTAGATGTGTAATTTGATATGTAATTTGCAGTGCTATCATGTCTGAGTGGTCCCCTCACCCCCTGATTTTCCTGCATTGGACCACAGGAGGTTTTTGTCCTTCAGCTGGCATTCCAGAATAATGAAGCTGCCAGGCTGATTTTCCTTTTCTCAGAAAATATGCAATATCTGAAACAAGATCCAGCATGATCCAGTAGTGTGGAAGGGGTGCAATTCTACTGTATGGTGTGGTTGGGAGGGAATAATCTGAATGGTGTCCATTTTTCAGCACCTTTTCTGCACAGAGTCTAAGCAGAGCAAGCAAGCTGTTATCTGGTGAGAATGGGAATGGCAGGCAGTATTGAAAGAAGTTACTGGATTAATTGGGTTGTGTGTGTGTGTGTGTGTGTGTGTGTGTGTGTAAGAGGAATTCTCCCGTATGCGAAGACAGGCTCTGGCAGATTGAGCTAATGAGATCAATAGTGGGTCCAACAGCCAAGAAGGCAGTTTCTGCCACAGGAGTCCCTTTATAGCAGGAAGTGTGAGGGCCTGGTCCTTGCTCCCTAGGTCAGCTGGAAAGGCCTTGTAAGGTAGTAGGCCCTGTATTTATTTTATGTATGTATTAATGTATTTTAAGAGAGCCAGTGTGGTGTAGTGGTTAAGAGTGGTGGACTTGTAATCTTGTGAACCGGGTTCGATTCCCCATTCCTCCACATGCAGCTGCTGGGTGACCTTGGGCTAGTCACACTTCTCTGAAGTCTCTCAGCCCCACTCACCTCACAGAGTGTTTGTTATGAGGGAGGAAGGGAAGGAGATTGTTAGCCGCTTTGAGACTCCTTTGGGTAGTGATAAAGTGGGATATCAAATCCAAACTCCTCCTCCTCCTCCTCCTTCTCCTCCTCCTTCTTCTTCTTCGTCTTCTATCCTCCCCACAGCCGATGGTGACCCTTGGGTCCCTTACAAATCTTTGATTCTATGATTCCAACAAGAACCATGGGGGGGGGGGGGGACCGTTAATGAAATGCAGCTCAAAATGTAGATTCCCAAGACAGGTGTTTACCATATAATATCAACTGTGACTGACAGAATTTCACCATAGGTTTATTTGGGCTATGGGACGGGATGCTTGTTAGGCTCAGCATTGCCAAAAGATGGAAAGACCTACCAAATGGAATAGAAACACTGTTTTTCTCTCCCTGCCGCTAAGCCCTCTCTGGCATGTTAGATGTTCAGAGAGCGCAGTTTCCCATAACCTTCCTTAACCAACTACCTTGGGATGGGGATCTGGATTTCCAGTGACTAGCAATGGAGATTTTAGCTGCTGCTTAGAACATAAATACAGTGGTACCTCAGGTTAATCATGCGCCACCGGAGCACAATTTCTGTTCTCATCCTGAAGCAAAGTTCTTAACCTGATACACTATTTCTGGGTTAGCGGACTCTGTAACCTGAAGCTTATGTAACCTGAGGTACCACTGTACAAGAGGATAGTGGTCAATGCTTGGGTTGTATTACTTTCAAGAGAAAGTAATGCCAAATCTGGATCCATTGCTGAGGTTTGATGCACGATAATAGAAATTAGATTGAACACCTGGGTCCAGAAGTCATTTAGAATGCAGATACTGCCATGAAATCATTTAGTATCCTCTGCAAAGGAAAAGGGGCTTAGCTTGGATTATGGAGCATCAGTAAAATATAATCTGTGAAAATATTCAGTTTATGTTCATCTCCTTGAACCCTGATGTCTTCAGTGCCTTGTGAGATGTTAGGTGTTGTGCTAGCATTGTACTTGTAGATGGACATTTCCCTGCCTATATGACAATGGGTGTGGCTTACCCCAGAGCCATTTGTCCTGTATGCTATTTTTATTTATTAAACAATATTCACACACCACTTAATCATAAAGACCTAACTGCGCTTTACACAGAAACAATCTGTAATATTCATCATGATAAAATAAAAAAATGGAAAACAAGTAGATGTAACAAAATGTATCGATATAGAGATGAAGTCAACAGTTTTAGGTAAAAATACATCCAATAAAATTACATGTATTGTTAATTATTACTTGTAGATTCTAACAACTCCCATTGATAATAAGAAGGTTGATTTATTTTACGTTTTGAAACACCGTAGAGATAATATCTGGTGGGATTTGTTTACATCATTCCATGCTCAATAAAAACATCATAAAAAGGATATTGTGGCAAATTGGTGTCATTTGGAAGAGCTCAACATCCATCGTGCTTCCTTGTAAGTCTATTGTGGTTTGAGGTTCTGCAGTTTTGATTTGAATTCATTCATTCAGCCCTTCAGATGCTCTTGTCCTTGCCACTTTGAAGGGATATAAGAACAATTTCGAAGCACCTGACTCTTTTTTATCTTGGCCACAAGATTCATACTCAATGGCAGAGTTACTGTTTTTCATACAGAAGGCTCCAGATCCAATATTTTCCTGAAGGAGTATGAGGTAGATTAGCAGGACTAGTGAAGACTGCAATCTGAGACGCTGCAGAGGTGCTACAATTTGAAATAGACACTGACTGCATGACTCTATAAAGGGCAGCTTAAGATAGGCATGCTCCTCAGTTTTCTAGTGGTGTTCAGAGTTATGACTTGTGATGCTGTTAATTTTGCAATTGACAGGAATATTGTGAAGCCTCAAACTCTTCAGCTCACTTGCCTCTGTGCTCCTTCATCAGTTTGTGGGCTGTAGCCAGACATTCATCCACAGTGGAATTCCATCAATTAAAAGAATACAGAATTTTAATCTATGGTGATGAACTATGCCAAAATGTTGTCTGATTGCTAAAATTTTAGTTCGATGCAAAATGCAGTTTTGTAAACTGGCCTCACTAACTTGGGAGCAGACAGTCCCAGGATTCCTCGAAAGGGAGATATCAGACATTCAACTCTGCAGTGTAGACTTATTGGTCAAGTGAATGTAATAATTGGTCTAAGGGGTGACACAATTAGGTTGCTGGTTGCTCAACTGTTGTGCTAGGCTCTGTCTACTGAGGCCGGCTCTACCATTGGGCAAATGGATGCAGCCTTTTTTCAGGCAGCTGTATGGAGTGATGTTTAAGGCACATCAAATGGCTTGTTCTTTAATGTGTTATTATTGTATTTTTACGATCACGTTATGCATTTTCTGTTTTTATGTTGTAAACTGGCCTATGATAGTCAGCTGAAGGGCAGTACATAAATTTAATAAAGAAGAAAAAACAAAAAAATCATTTTATGAACAAGCATCTCCCCCAGTATTTTTGTATTAAACATCAGCTGACGAGCACTGTTGCAATCTGTAACATCTTTAAAGTTCATTTTCAGATTCTACATCAATGGGAAGAGAAAATCATACAATAGTGACAGAATTTATCCTTGTTGGGTTTTCCAATTTCCCAGACCTGCAGGTTATGTTGTTTCTGGTGTTCTCTCTTATGTTCCTGGTTACTTTGATGGGAAATATAATCATCATCACTACGATACGGCTTAACCGCAGCCTCCACATCCCCATGTACTTCTTCCTCTCCATCCTCTCCTTCTCAGAAATCTGCTACTCACTGGTCATTATCCCCAATATGCTTGCAAATCTTCTAAGAGAGAAGACGACCATTTCCTTCATTGGCTGTGTTACTCAGATGTTCCTTTTCCTGGGCTTTGCATGCACAAATTGTATGCTTCTAGCAGTGATGGGGTATGACCGATATGTCTCCATATGCAAACCGTTACGTTATCAGATTTTGATGAATCAAAGTCTCTGCATCAAACTGGTGGCTTGTTCAGCAACAACTGGATTTCTTTTTTCCACCTCAGAGACTATAATCATATTTACCTTGCCTTTCTGTGGACCAAATAAAGTTAAGCACTTCTTTTGTGATTTATCACCTTTGCTTGAATTAGCCTGTGGCCGAAACTACATCGGGGAAATTGTCATTACCCTTATTTGTGTTTTGGCTGTAATTTGTTCATTCTTGTTCATCCTTCTCTCATACATTTTAATTGCAAACACTGTCTTGAAAATCCCCACAACGGCTGGGAAGCGTAAAGCCTTTTCCACTTGTGCCTCCCATCTTATCGTGGTCGTAGTGCACTTCGGGTGTGCTTGCATTATCTACTTAAGGCCCAAATCCAGTTACACGCTAGATCAGACTATTTTTATTTCTGTCTCTTACACAATGGTGACTCCCTTGTTGAACCCCTTGGTGTACAGCCTGAGAAACAAAGATGTTCAAATAGCACTTAAGAAATCGCTTGGCAAAAGCTCCTGCACCCAAAGAATGTGAAAATTAAGCGTTATCCACTTTGAAGAGGAATTATGAAACCCAACAATTATGTGTAGTTTGATGGACAAAGAATGCCTCAAATAGTATTGTAGCTTTTTCTCATCTTTTTAAAAAATCATTTGTATATGGAATATTCACTTGGAAAAATGTGGCCTTGCTTTAGCAGTTACAAACAACTTTGATTTTCTCTTTAGTACATCACTGGAAAATAAATTGGGTTGTGGGAATTTTCTCATAAATGAACCTGTAATCATTCAGCCCTGCAACACAGGAAACTTTTCTAAAGATTACTGTTGTTTTCTCCCAAATCCTAGCCCACATTTTCTCTACCAATCATTCACGCAGAACTATTTCATTTTTTTTATAAGATATTTATTAAGATTTTCAAGATATTACAAAATGAAAAAAGAAAAAAGAAAAATACAAAATAAAAATGGTTAAAAACAATTCATTCTTTCCATTACTTATCTTTCATTTGCTTATTTCCCGGACCTCCTCACGCCTCCCTTTTTTGTATTCCAGTTCAATTTGTTGGTTCAGGAAATCCCTCCCCTCTTTGTATATCCTAGTCTTTAATCATATATATTGTAACATTAAATTTTTACCTGTTAATAATCCATTTTTTCATATTCCCTTATAACCTTACAGCTAAAAACCACTTAGTTTCTATCCAACATCATTCTAGCATTCATTAATTTTGCAATATTTCTGTAAATAGTCTTTAAACTTTTTCCAATCTTTTTCCATCGACTCTTCTCCCTGGTCTCGGATTCTGCCAGTCATTTCCGCCAGTTCCATATAGTCCATCATCTTCATCTGCCATTCTTCCAGAGTGGGTAGATCTTGTGTCTTCCAATACTTTGCAATAAGTATTCTTGCTGCTGTTGTGGCATACATAAAGAAAGTTCTGTCCTTCTTTGGCACCAATTGGCCGACTATGCCCAGCAGGAAGGCCTCTGGTTTCTTTAGAAAGGTATATTTAAATACCTTTTTCATTTCATTATAGATCATCTCCCAGAAAACCTTAATCTTTGGGCACGTCCACCAAAGGTGAAAGAATGTACCTTCGTTTTCTTTACATTTCCAACATTTATTATCGGGCAAATGATAGATTTTTGCAACCTTGACTGGTGTCATGTACCACCTGTATATCATTTTCATAATATTCTCTCTTAGGGCATTACATGCCGTAAATTTCATACCAGTGGTCCACAACTGTTCCCAGTCAGCAAACATAATGTTATGTCCAACATCTTGTGCCCATTTAATCATAGCAGATTTCACCGTTTCATCCTGAGTATTCCATTTCAACAGCAAGTTATACATCTTTGACAAAATCTTAGTTTTGGGTTCTAACAGTTCTGTTTCTAATTTTGATTTTTCCACCTGGAAACCAATTTTTTTGTCCAAATTATAGGCCTCCCTTATTTCACGCAGAACTATTTCAAGCTCATATAGTGCTGAGACTGAAGTGTCAAAATTGTTCTTGTTGAATAGCTGCCACCCGTATATTTTGGTTGGGTCCAGTTTGGGGTACATTTCTGTTTATCTTTGTGGAGGTAGCTTTTTCTGCCCCTCCTTGTCCCCAGTAATGGCTATTTTTAAGGAGGGAATCTTTTTTCAAAGTTGGAATTCTTGTAACCAAACACACTTAATTTCTGCTCTTTTGCTTTCATGTAGTATGTTCTGACATTTGCTTTTTATAAAGTGTTGGCAAGAATGTAATAATATATTGTACACAAAATGGAGTATTGCTATTTTTCAATATGCATATATTTTAGCATTCATATATATATATATATATATATATATATATATATATATATATATTTTAAACCTGACACTTTAATTACTTTCAAAGCCATGCCCAAAGAAAGGCTATATCATATTATATTCCCATTACATAATCAGATATGCAATTGGATCGTTAATTTGCAGTGCTATCATGTCTGAGTGGACCCCTCACCCCCCGATTTTCCTGCATTGGACCACATAATGTTTTTGTCCTTCAGTTGGCATTCTAGAATAATGTAGCTGCCAGGCTGATTTTCCTTCTACCATAAAACACACAATATATCAAGAAAGGTCCAGTATAATTCAGTAGTGTGGAAGGGGTTGGGTGCAATTCTACTGTATGGTGTGGTTGGGATAGAATGGTCTGAATGGTGTCCATTCTTCAGCACCTTTTCCGCACAGTCTAAGCTGTTACCTGGGGAGAATGGGAGTATTGAAAGAAGTTACTGAATTAGCTATAGTGCCTGTGTGTGCAGTGGCGTAGCGTGGGGGGTGCAGGGGGGGCCGGCCGCACCGGTCACAACATCTGGGGGGGGGGGCGCGCTTGCACTCGCAGCTCTCTGCCCCTACCTGGCTCACTCACTCTCTCTCACTGCAGTGCTGGCTGTGCGAATCCGATCCGAGCCGCTGGGTCGCCGCCCACTGTGGAGGGGGGTGGGTGCCAGGCGTGCGGTGCCGAGAGAGAGCGAGGGACTATCTGGGGAGGGACAGTGCAGCGGCCGCCCAGCGCAGCGCTGAGCGCGGGAGAGAACCACACCAGACCAGCCCAGGCAGCAGCAAGAAGAAGCTGGCAGCGGCGGCAGCTTAGGGGTTAGGGGGCGCAAATTACTTGCCTTGCCCCGGGTGCTGACAACCCACGCTACGCCGCTGTGTGTGTGTCTGTGTGTCAAGGAGGAATTCTCCCGTATGCGAAGACAGGCTCTGGTGCATTGAGCTGATGAGATCAATAGTGGGTTCAGCAGCCAAGAAGGCAGTTTCTGCCACAGGAGTCCCTTTATAGCTGGAAGTGTGAGGGCCTGGTCCTTGCTCCCTAGGTCAGCTGGAAAGGCCTTTAAGGGAGCAGGCCCTGCAGTCCTCACCACAGCCGATGGTGGCCCTTGGGCCCTGTCAGGAGTCCCAGTTTCCGACATGATAACGCAGCCAGCGTGGTTAATTAAAAAGGAAGATTTATTGCAATCACAGTGTTCTCCAGATGGCTCTACAGTGCCCCCATTCTCCACTAATCATGATGACCCTTCTGACTCCTTCCTGTGATGACGGAAGATATTGAACTTACTAACCCTAATTCTCTTGTTTTTCTTCCTAACAACAGCCCCTTCACCTATTATCCACACTTATTGGCTTAGCTCAGTCTTTTCCTTTTCTGATGAACTACCCATGTTTCTGTTTGCTCCTGTTTGAAACTCCTGACAGCTTTGGCTAGGTTCCTGCTCGCGTGCAACATTATCAGTTGTCATTCCAACGGGCGGAGGAGTTGACCCTGGCCAAGGCTCCTCTTGTCTGCCATTTAACCCTCTCTCTTCGTAACTGCTTCCTTCACTGGGAGCTGGCTCATTCATGACATGTCCCTTCCAACTCTAAGATTCTATGATTCCAACAACAACAATGGAAAAAAGAACCATTCATGCAATGCTGCTAAAAACGTAGATGCCCAAGCCAGGTGTTTACTATATAATATCAACTATATAATACCATATAATATCAACTAAACATACGGAGAACTTCTCCAGAGGTTTATTTGGGCTACGGGACATTTGGTGCTTGTTTGGCTCGGCATTGCCAAAGGATAGAAAGAGCTACCAAATGGAATAGAAACAGCCTGTTTTTGTCTCCCTGCCGCTAAGCCCTCTCTGGCATTTTTTTTAAAAAAGTTTTTTATTTATACAACAAGAAAAACGCACACACACAAATACCAAATTACACACAAATTACAAAAATAACCATAGACACATAATTTTCTTAGCAAACAATGAAACATCTATTGGTCTTAACACTAAAGACCCAACCTCCTGTCTATTCCATATTTCAAATTCATATTACTTTTTGCCAGTACACACTTTTCTCATAATTAAACTTATTCTCAATAAATCTAATTTCTTATATCTACCTTGCAAGTATTACTGAAGTTCCTCGAATGCTGCAACAGAATTTAAACTACTATATTTATTTTTCAGATAATCTTTGAAAACCTCCCATTTTGAAACAAATCCCTGTTTTGATTTATTCTTTATTTTTTCTGATAAACCATCTAATTCGGCATATACTGTCAGCTTTTGGATCCAATCTTGTATAGAGGGGATTTCATTACTCTTCCATTTTGCTGCGATCAAAACTCTTTCTGCCACCATCGCATATAAAAAGATACCCTTCCTCTTTTGTGGAATATCCAAATCTGTTATTCCCAGGAGGTAGGCCTCTGGTGTTTTATTGTAAGAGATCTTTAACATTTTTTGCAGTTCTACATGGATACTCTCCCAGAATACCTGTATTTTCCTACATATGCACCACATATGGTAGAATGTTCCTGATTCACGCATCTCCAACAATTACTTGACATATTTTTATACATTTTTGAAAGTTTCCATGGTGTTAGATACCATCGATGTTGCATTTTTTGAAAGTTCTCTCTAATCGGGTAACAATTTGTGAATTTCCAATTGATCTTCCATAAATTTTCCCATTGGGCCATGGTTATTGAATGGCCAAAATCCTGGGACCACCTCACCATTGCCACTGTTGCCTCCTCCTCCTTTACTGTCCAGTCAAGAAGGAGTGGATAAGTTTTGGAAAGAGTTTTTCTTTTAGAATTTACAAGATCAGATTCGAATCGGGAAATTTCTGTTGAGAACCCCCTTTGTTTGTCAGATTTAAATTTTTCAAATAGCTGATGGTATTGGAACCAGTCTGAGATGTGTTCTCTTATTTCCTCAAAGTTTTTTAATGCCTTCTCTGGCATGTTAGATGTTTAGAGAGAGCAATGTCCCATAACCATCCAAACCAACAATACCGGGATGGGGATCTGGATTTCTAGTGACGAGCAATGGAGATTTTAGCTGCTGCTTAGAACATAAATACAAGAGGATAGCGGTCAATGGTTGGGTTGTATTGCTTTCTAGAGAAAGTAATGCCAAATCTGGATCCATTGTCAAGGGTTGACCCACAATACTGGATAAAATTACATGTATTGTTAATTATTACTTGTAGCTTTTAACAACTCCCTTTGATAATAAGATGGTTGATTTATTTTACGTTTTGAAACACCGTGGAGATAATATCTGGTGGGATTTATAAAGTGGTTTACATCATTCCATGCTCAATGAAAACATCATAAAAAGGATATTGTGGCAAATTGGTGTCATTTGGAAGAGCTCAACATCCATCGTGCTTCTTTGTAAGTCTATTGTGGTTTGAGATTCTGCAGCTTTGGTTTGAATTCATTCATTCAGCCCTTCTGATGCTCTTGTTTTTGCCAATTTAAAGGGAAATAAGAACAATTTCACAGCCCCCTGACTCCTTTTGTCTTGGGAACAAGATTCATACTCAATGGCAGAGTTACTGTTTTTCATACAGAAGGCTCCAGATCCAATATTTTCCTGAAGGAGTATGAGGTAGCTTAGCAGGACTAGTGAAGACATCAACCTGAGACCCTGGAGAGCTGCTACAATTTGGAATAGACACCAATTGTATGACTCTTTAAAAGGCAGCTGAAGAAAAGCATGCTCCTCAATAAAATATTCTAGTGGTGTTCAGAATTATGCCTTGTGATGCTGTTAATTTTGCAATTGACAGGAATATTGTGAAGCCTCAAACTCTTCAGCTCACTTGCCTCTGTGCTCCTTCCTCAGTTTGTGGGCTGTAGCCAGACATTCATTCACAGTGGAATTCCATCAATTAAAAGAATACAGAATTTTAATCTATGGTGATGAACTATGCCAAGATGTTGTCTGATTGCTAAAATTTTAGTTCTATGGAAAATTCAGTTTTGTAAACTGGCTCTTACGCCTCACTAAGTTGGGAGCAGACATTCCCAGGATTCCTCGAAAGGGAGATATCAGACATTCAACTCTGCAGTGTAGACTTATTGGTCAAGTGAATGTAATAATTGGTCTAAGGGGTGACACAATTAGGTTGCTGGTTGCTCAACCGTTGTGCTAGCTCTGTCTACTGAGGCCGGTTCTACCACTGGGCAAATGGAGATGGCCTTTTCTCAGGCAGCTGTATAGAGTGATGTTTAAGGCACATCAATTGGCTTGTTCTTTAATTTGTTATTATTGCATTTTTACGGTCACGTTATGCATTTTGTGTTTTTATGTTGTAAAGTGGCCTGTGATAGTCAGCTGAAGGGCAGTACATAAATTTAATAAAGAAGAAAAAACAAAAAAATCATTTTATGAACAAGCATCTCCCCCAGTATTTTTGTATTAAACATCAGCTGACGAGCACTGTTGCAATCTGTAACATCTTTAAAGTTTATTTTCAGATGCTGCATCAATGGGAAGAGAAAATCAAACAGCGGTGACAGAATTTATCTTCGCTGGATTTTCCAATTTCCCAGACCTGCAGGTTCCATTGTTTTTTGTGTTCTCTCTAATCTACCTGGTAACTTTGATCGCAAATATAATCATCATCACTACGATACGGATTGATCGCAGCCTCCACATCCCCATGTACTTCTTCCTCTCCATCCTCTCCTTCTCAGAAATCTGCTACTCACTTGTCATTATCCCCAATATGTTTGCAAATTTTCTGAGAGAGAAGAAGACCATTTCCTTCATTGGCTGTGCCACTCAGATGTGCATTTTCCTGGGCTTTGCATGTACAAATTGTATGCTTCTAGCAGTGATGGGGTATGACCGATATGTCTCCATATGCAAACCTTTACGTTATCAGATTTTGATGAATCAAAGTCTCTGCATCAAACTGGTGGCTTGTTCAGCAACAACTGGATTTCTTTTTTCCACCACAGAGACTATAATCATATTTACCTTGCCTTTCTGTGGGCCAAATGAACTTAAGCACTTTTTGTGTGATTTATCACCTTTGCTTGAATTAGCCTGTGGCCGAAACTACATAGGAGAAATTGTCATTTTCATTATTTGTGTTTTGGTTGTAATTTGTGCATTCCTGTTCATCCTTCTCTCATACATTTTAATTGCAAACACTGTCTTGAAAATCCCCACAACGGCTGGGAAGCGTAAAGCCTTTTCCACTTGTGCCTCCCATCTTATCGTGGTCGTAGTGCACTTTGGGTGTGCTGGCATTATCTATTTAGGGCCCAAATCCAGTTACACGCTAGATCAGACTACTTTTATTACTGTCTCTTACACAATGGTGACTCCATTGTTGAACCCTTTAGTGTACAGCCTGAGAAACAAAGATGTCCAGATAGCGCTTAAAAAATCGCTTGGCAAAAGCTCCTGCACCCAAAGAATGTGAAAATTAAGCGTAATCCAGTTTGAAGAGGAATTATGAAAGCCAACAAATACTGTATCTGTTGTTTAATGTACAAAGGACGCCTCAAATAGTATTGTAGCTTTTTCTCATCTTCTAAAAAATTCATTTGTATATGAAATATTCACTTGGAAAAATGTGGCCTTGCTTTAGCATTTACAGACAACTTTGATTTTCTCACTGGAAAATAAATTGGGTTGTGGGAATTTTCTCATAAATGAACCTGTAATCATTCAGCCCTGCAACAAAGGAAACTTTTCTAAAGATTACTGTTGTTTTCTCCCAAATCCTAGCCCACATTTTCTCTGCCAATCATTTACGCAGAACTATTTCAAGCTCATATAGTGCTGAGACTGAAGTGTCAAAATTGTTCTTGTTGAATAGCTGCCACCCGTATATTTTGGTTGGGTTCAGTTTGGGGTACATTTCTGTTTATCTTTGTGGAGGTAGCTTTTTCTGCCCCTCCTTGTCCCCAGTAATGGCTATTTTTAAGAAGGGAATCTTTTTTCAAAGTTGGAATTCTTGTAACCAAACACACTTAATTTCTGCTCTTTTGCTTTCATGTAGTATGTTCTGACATTTGCTTTTTATAAAGTGTTGGCAAGAATGTAATAATATATTGTACACAAAATGGAGTATTGCTATTTTTCAATATGCATTTATTTTAGCATTCATATATATTAAACCTGACACTTTAATTACTTTCAAACCATGCCCAAAGAAAGGCTATATCATATTATATTCCCATTACATAATCAGATATGCAATTGGATCATTAATTTGCAGTGCTATCATGTCTGAGTGGACCCCTCACCCCCCGATTTTCCTGCATTGGACCACATAATGTTTCTGTCCTTCAGTTGGCATTCTAGAATAATGTAGCTGCCAGGCTGATTTTCCTTCTACCATAAAACACACAATATATCAAGAAAGGTCCAGCATAATTCAGTAGTGTGGAAGGGGTTGGGTGCAATTCTACTGTATGGTGTGGTTGGGATAGAATGGTCTGAATGGTGTCTATTCTTCAGCACCTTTTCCGCACAGTCTCAGCAGAGCAAGCAAGCTGTTACCTGGGGAGAATGGGAGTATTGAAAGAAGTTACTGAATTAGCTATAGTGCCTGTGTGTGTCTATGTGTCAAGGAGGAATTCTCCCGTATGCGAAGACAGGCTCTGGTGCATTGAGCTGATGAGATCAATAGTGGGTTCAGCAGCCAAGAAGGCAGTTTCTGCCACAGAAGTCCCTTTATAGCTGGAAGTGTGAGGGCCTGTTCCTTGCTCCCTAGGTCAGCTGGAAAGGCCTTTAAGGGAGCAGGCCCTGCAGTCCTCACCACAGCCAATGGTGGCCCTTGGGCCCTGTCAGGAGTCCCAGTTTCCGACATGATAACGCAGCCAGTGTGGTTAATTAAAAAGGAAGATTTATTGCAATAACAGTGTTCTCCAGATGGCTCTACAGTGCCCCCATTCTCCACTAATCATGATGACCCTTCTGACTCCTTCCTGTGATGACGGAAGATATTGAACTTACTAACCCTAATTCTCTTGTTTTTCTTCCTAACAACAGCCCCTTCACCTATTATCCACACTTATTGGCTTAGCTCAGTCTCTTCCTTTTCTGATGAACTACCCATGTTTCTGTTCGCTCCTGTTTGAAACTCCTGACAGCTTTGGCTAGGTTCCTGCTCGCGTGCAACATTATCAGTTGTCATTCCAATGGGCGGAGGAGTTGACCCTGGTCAAGGCTCCTCTTGTCTGCCATTTAACCCTCTCTCTTCGTAACTGCTTCCTTCACTGGGAGCTGGCTCATTCATGACATGTCCCTTCCAACTCTAAGATTCTATGATTCCAACAACAACAATGGAAAAAAGAACCATTCATGCAATGCTGCTAAAAACGTAGATGCCCAAGCCAGGTGTTTACTATATAATATCAACTATATAATACCATATAATATCAACTAAACATATGGAGAAGTGACATAAGAGATGTGTTCTCTTATTTCCTCAAACTTTTTTAATGCCCTCTCTGGCATGTTAGATGTTTAGAGATTGCAATGTGCCATAACCTTCCAAACCAACAATACCGGGATGGGGATTTGGATTTCCAGTGACTAGCAATGGAGATTTTAGCTGCTGCTTAGAACATAAATACAAGAGGATAGCGGTCAATGGTTGGGTTGTATTGCTTTCTAGAGAAAGTAATGCCAAATCTGGATCCATGTCAAGGGTTGACCCACAATAATAGGAATTAAATTGAACACCTGGGTCCGGAAGTCATTGAGAATGCAGATACTGCCATGAAATTATTTAGTACCCTCTGCAAAGGAAAAGGGGCTTAGCTTGGATTGTGGAGCATCAGTAATATATAGTGTGTGAAAATAGTCAGTTTACACTCATTTCCTTGAACCCTGATGTCTTCAGTACCCTTCAGTACCCGTGAGATGTTAGGTTTCATGAGATGGAACTTGCCCTGCCTTTTTGACAATTGGTGTGGCTTACCTCAGAGCCATTTGTCATGTACGCTATTTTTATTTATTAAACAATATTCACAAACCACTTAATCAAAAAGACCGAAACAATCTGTAATATGCATCCTGATAAAAGAAAAAAATGGAAAACAAGTAGACATAATGGAATGTATCGATATAGAGATGAAGTCAACAGTTTTAGGAAAAAATGCACCCAATAAAATTACATGTATTGTTAATTATTTCTTGTAGATTTTAACAACTCCCATTGATAATAAAATGGTTGGTTTATTTTATGTTTTGAAATACCGTGGAGATAATATCTGGTGGGATTTATAACCATGTTTACATTGTTCCATGCTCAGTAGAAACATCATAAAAAGGATATTGTGGCAAATTGGTGTCATTTGGAAGAGCTCAACATCCATCGTGCTTCCTTGTAAGTCTATTGTGGTTTGAGGTTCTGCAGCTTTGGTTTGAATTCATTCATTCAGCCCTTCAGATGCTCTTGTTTTTGCCACTTTAAAGGGAAATAAGAAAAATTTCAAAGCCCCTGACTCTTTTTTATCTTGGGAACAAGATTCATACTCAATGGGAGATTTACTACTTTTCATGCAGAAGGCCCCAGATCCAATATTTTTCCAAAAGGGTATGAGGTAGCTTAGCAGGACTGGTGAAGACATCAACCTGAGTCCCTGGAGAGGTGCTACAATTTGGAATAGACACCAAATGTATGACTCTTTAAAAGGCAGCTTAAGACAGGCATGCTCCTCAATAAAATATTCTAGTGGTGTTCAGAGTTATGCCTTGTGAAGCTGTTAATTTTTCAATTGACAGGAAGATTGTGAAGCCTCAAACTCTTCAGCTCACTTGCCTCTGTGCTCCTTCCTCAGTTTGTGGGCTGTAGCCAGACATTCATTCACAGTGGAATTACATCAATTAAAAGAATACAGAATTTTAATCTATGGTGATGAACTATGCCAAGATGTTGTTTGATTGCTAAAATTTTAGTTCGATGGAAAATGCAGTTTTGTAAACAGGCTCTAATGCCTCACTAACTTGGGGGCAGACATTCCCAGGATTCCTTGAAAGGGAGATATCAGACATTCAACTCTGCAGTGTAGACTTATTGGTCAAGTCAATGTAATAATACGTCTATAGGGTGGCACAATTATGTTCTTGGTTGCACAACTGTTGTGCTAGGTTATGTCTACTGAGGCTGGTTCTACCATTGGGCAAATGGAGGCGACCTTTTCTCAGGCAGCTGTATGGAGTGATGTTTGTTGTTGTTGTTGTTTAGTCGTTTAGTCGTGTCCGACTCTTCGTGACCCCACGGACCAGAGCACGCCAGGCACTCCTGTCTTCCACTGCCTCCCGCAGTTTGGTCAAACCCATGCTGGTAGCTTCGAGAACACTATCCAACCATCTCGTCCTCTCTCGTCCCCTTCTCCTTGTGCCCTCAATCTTCCCCAACATCAGGGTCTTTTCCAGGGAGTCTTCTCTTCTCATGAGGTTGCCAAAGTACTGGAGCCTCAGCTTCACGATCTGTCCTTCCAGTGAGCACTCAGGGCTGATTTCCTTCAGAATGGATAGGTTTGATCTTCTTGCAGTCCATGGGACTCTCAAGAGTCTCCTCCAGCGCCATAATTCAAAAGCATCAATTCTTCGGCAATCAGCCTTCTTTATGGTCCAGCTCTCACTTCCATACATCGCTACTGGGAAAGCCATAGCTTTTACTATACGGACCTTTGTTGGCAAGGTGATGTCTCTGCTTTTTAAGATGCTGTCTAGGTTTGTCATTGTTTTTCTCCCAAGAAGCAGGTGTCTTTTAATTTCGTGGCTGCTGTCACCATCTGCAGTGATCGTGGAGCCCAAGAAAGTAAAATCTCTCACTGCCTCCATTTCTTCCCCTTCTATTTGCCAGGAGGTGATGGGACCAGTGGCCATGATCTTCGTTTTTTTGATGTTGAGCTTCAGACCATATTTTGCACTTTCCTCTTTCACCCTCATTAAAAGGTTCTTTAATGTCTCCTCACTTTCTGCCACCAAGGTTGTGTCATCTGCATATCTGAGGTTGTTGATATTTCTTCCGGCAATCTTAATTCTGCCTAGGGATTCATCCAGCCCAGCCTTTCGCATTATGAATTCTGCATATAAGTTAAATAAGCAGGAGACAATATGCAGCCTTGTCGTCCTCCTTTCCCAATTTTGAACCAACCAGTTGCTCCATATCCAGTTCTAACTGTAGCTTCTTGTCCCACACAGAGATTTCTCAGGAGACAGATGAGGTGATCAGCCACTCCCATTTCTTAAAGAACTTGCCATAGTTTGCTGTGGTCGACACAGTCAAAGGCTTTTGCATAGTCAATGAAGCGGAAGTAGATGTCTTTCTGGAACTCTCTAGCTTTCTACATAATCCAGTGCATGTTTGCAATTTGGTCTCTGGTTCCTCTGCCTCTTCTAAATCCAGCTTGCACTTCTGGGAGTTCTCGGTCCACATACTGCTTGAGCCTTCCTTGTAGAATTTTAAGCATAACCTTGCTAGCGTGTGAAATGAGTGCAATTGTGCGGTAGTTGGAGCATTCTTTGGCACTGACCTTCTTTGGGATTGGGATGTAGACTGATCTTCTCCAATCCTCTGGCCACTGCTGAGTTTTCCAAATTTGCTGGCATATTGAGTGTAGCACCTTAACGGCATCATCTTTTAAAATTTTAAATAGTTCAGCTGAAATACTATCACTTCCACTGGCCTTGTTATTAGCAGTGCTTTCTAAGGCCCATTTGACTTCATTCTCCTGGATGTCTGACTCAAGGTCAGCAACCACACTACCTGGGGTGTACGAGCCATCCATATCTTTCTGGCATAATTCTTCCGTGTATTCTTGCCACCTCTTCTTGATGTCTTCTGCTTCTGTTAGGTCCTTACCACTTTTGTCCTTTATTGTGGTAATCTTTGTACGAAATGTTCCTTTCATATCTCCAATTTTCTTGAACAGATCTCTGGTTCTTCCCATTCTGCTGTTTTCCTCTATTTCTTTGCATTGCTTGTTTAAGAAGGCCTTCTTGTCTCTCCTTGCTATTTTTGGAAATCTGCATTCAATTTCCTGTATCTTTCACTGTCTCCCTCGCATTTTGCTTGCCTTCTCTCCCCGCTATTTGTAAGGCCTCGTTAGACAGCCACTTTGCTTTCTTGCATTTCCTTTTCATTGGGATGGTTTTAGCTGCTGCCTCCTGTATAATGTTATGAGCCTCCATCCATAGTTCTTCAGGCACTCTGCCCACCAAATCTAAATCCTTAAACCTGTTTAAGTGATGTTTAAGGCACATCAAAGGGTTTTTATTGCTATTGCATTTTTACGGTCACATTATGCATTTTGTGTTTTTATGTTGTAAAGTGGCCTGTGATAGTCAGCTGAAGGGCGGTACATAAATTTAATAAAGAACAAAAAATAAATAATTATTTTATGAAGAAGCCTCTCCCCAAGTATTTTTGTATAAAACATCAGCTGATGAGCACTGTTGAAATCTGTAATGCCTTTAAAGTTTATTTTCAGATGCAGCATCAATGGGAAGAGAAAATCAAACAGTGGTGACAGAATTTATCCTTGCTGGATTTTCTAATTTCCCAGACCTGAAGATTCCGTTGTTTCTGGTGTTCTCTCTAATCTACCTGGTAACTTTGATAGCAAATATAATCATCATCACTACAATACGGCTTAACCGCAGCCTCCACATCCCCATGTACTTCTTCCTCTCCATCCTCTCCTTTTCAGAAATCTGCTACTCACTTGTCATTATCCCCAATATGCTTGCAAATCTTCTAAGAGAAAAGAAGACCATTTCCTTCATTGGCTGTGCTACTCAGATGTGCATTTTCCTGGGCTTGGCAGGCACAAATTGTATGCTTCTAGCAGTGATGGGGTATGACCGATATGTCTCCATATGCAAACCTTTACGTTATCAGATTTTGATGAATCAAAGACTCTGCACCAAGCTGGTGGCTTGTTCAATATCACTTGCATTTATTTTTTCTATATCAGAGACTATTATCATATTTACCTTGCCTTTCTGTGGACCAAATAAAGTTAAGCACTTCTTTTGCGATTTAGCACCTTTGCTTGAATTAGCCTGCGGCCGAAACTACATAGGTGAAATTGTCATTTTCATTATTTGTGTTTTGGTTGTGATTTCTTCATTCTTGTTCATCCTTCTCTCGTACATTTTAATTGCAAACACTGTCTTGAAAATCCCCACAACGGCTGGGAAACGAAAAGCCTTTTCCACTTGTGCCTCCCATCTTATCGTGGTCGTGGTGCACTTTGGGTGTGCTGGCATTATCTATTTAGGGCCCAAATCCAGTTACACACTAGATGAGACTACTTTTATTTCCGTCTCTTACAATGGTGACTCCCTTGTTGAACCCCTTGGTGTACAGCCTGAGAAACAAAGATGTCCAAACAGCGCTTAAGAAATCACTTGGCAAAAGCTCTTGCACCCAAAGAATGTGAAAATTAAGCGTTATCCACTTTGAAGAGGAATTATGAAACCCAACAAATACTGTATCTGTTGTTTAATGGACAAAAAACGCCTCAAATAGTATTGTAGCCTTTTCTCATCTTTTTAAAAATTCATTTGTATGTGGAATATTCATTTGGAAAAATGTGGCCTTGCTTTAGCATTTACAAACAACTTTGATTTTCTCTTTAGTAAATCACTGGAAAATAAATTGGGTTGTGGGAATTTTCTCATAAATGAACCTGTAATCATTCAGCCCTGCAACAAAGGAAACTTTTCTAAAGATTATTGTTGTTTTCTCCCAAATCCTTGCCCACATTTTCTCTACCAATCATTCACGCAGAACTATTTCAAGCTCATATAGTGCTGAGACTGAAGTTTCAAAATTGTTCTTGTTGAATGGCTGGTACCCGTATACAGTGGTACCTCGGGTTACATACGCTTCAGGTTACAGACGCTTCAGGTTACAGACTCCGCTGATCCAGAAATAGTACCCCGGGTTAAGAACTTTGCTTCAGGATGAGGACTGAATCGCGTGGCAGCGGCGCGGCAGCCCTATTTGCTAAAGTGGTGCTTCAGGATAAGAACAGTTTCAGGTTAAGAACCGACCTCCGGAACGAATTAAGTACTGTATTTTTCGCTCTATAAGACACACCAGACCATAAGACGCACCTAGTTTTTGGAGGAGGAAAACAAGAAAAAAAATATTCCGAATCCCAGAAGCCAGGACAGCAAGTGGGATCACAGCTTGCTGTCCTGGCTTATGGGATAGCAGCGCGCAGCTTCTCCTGGGCAGCGGCATGAATTCTCCCCCTGCCCAGGTCCCTGGCTGGTACCTGTATATTTCTTTTGGGGTCAGTTTGGGGTACGTATCTGTTTATCTTTGTGGATGTGGCTTTTTCTGCCCTTCCTTGTCCCCTGTGATGGTATTTTTTAAGGAGGCAATCTGCTTTTTCATCATCATCAAACCTTTTACTGACATCACATACAAACATTCATAGCTAATCAATACAGAATTCCCGCCATCCCAGTGACACAAAACATTTGGAGTCTGCTTTTTCAATGTTGGAATTCTTGTAACCAAACACACTTAATTTCTGCTCTTTTGCTTTCATGTGATTTGTTCTGACATTTGCTTTTTGTACAGTGTTGGCAAGAATGTAATAATATATTGTACACAAAATGGAGTATTGCTATTTTTCAATATGCATTTATTTTAGCATTCATATATATATATATATATATATATATATAAAATGGATAAGTAATTTGCAGTGCTATCATGTCTGAGTGGTCCCCTCACCCCCTGATTTTCTTGCACTGGACCACATGAGGTTGTTCCGTGGTGATTTCCCGCCTCCCACCAGTAGGAATAACGACACGTGACACAAATATTTAGGTTAATGGGCTAAAATAGGGCACAAGTTTTTTGGTTACAGGTAAAGAGCGGTATTGGCTTAGGCATTGGTCCTATCTGACTATCCGGCTTCAGCCTGTTTGCTTGAAGACCGGGAAGGGTTAACACCAGTGGGGGAGCCCTGCTGATGCACATCAACTAGGGACTCCCCCGGGATCACCGCTCGGGGGGGCGCTTTAGGCCCTGACCTCCATAGGCTTCAGACGAGGCCACACTCCCCGGAATACTTTACCGGACTACCCTTCAAAATTTGGGGGAGGTGATGGCGCTCCCCCCCCCCCGCAACACATCTACATAACAATACCCCTACCAATGCCTAACCGCCAAAACCAAAGAAGTTGTGACGAGAGGGAGATCCCGGGCTGTGCTTGCCTTAAATGAGGCAAGCCACACCCCCTGAGCCAGCCAATTGGCTGGCCATGGGATGACGCAGCCCAAGGATTCCCCTGATCGCGCGGGGCTGGAAGCCAGCCTTCGCACGCGTGTTGGGGCGTGAGCGCGCACCACCACCTCCTCCTGAGGTCGGAAGTGGCTTTGTCCTTCAGTTAGTATTCCAGAACAATGTAGCTGCCAGGCTGATTTTCCTTCTCTCAAAAATATGAAATATCTGAAGAAAGGTCCAACCTGATTCAGTAGTGTGGAAGAGGGTTGGCTGCAACTCTACTGTGTGGTGTGGTTGGGAGGGTATGGTCTGAATGGTGTCCATTCTTCAGCACCTTTTCCTCACTTCAGTCTGAGCAGAGCAAGCAAGTTGTTATCTGGGGAGAATGGGAATGGCAGGCAGTATTGAAAGAAGTTACTGGATTAATTGGTGTGTGTGTTTGTGTCTTTGTGTGTCAAGGAGGACTTCCCCTGTACGCGAAGACAGGCTCTGGTGGATTGAGCTGATGAGACCAATAGTGGCTTCAATAGCCAAGAAGGCAGTTTCTGCCAGAGGAGTCTATAGCTGGAAGTGTGAGGGCCTGGGCCTTGCCCCCTAGGCCAGCTGGTAAAGGCTTTGTAAGGAGCAGGCCTTGCACTCCTCACCACAGCCAACGGTGACCCTTGGGTCCTTTTCAACTCTAAGATTCTATGGTTCCAACAACAACAATGGGAAAAAGAACCATTCATGCAATGCTGCTCAAAACGTAGATGCCCAAGACAGTTGTTTACCATATAATATCAACTGTGAGTGACAAAACTTCTCCATATGTTTATTTGGGCTATGGGACAGTTGATGCTTGTTTGGCTCAGCATTGCCAAAGGATAGAAAGAGCTACCAAATGGAATAGAAACAGCCTGTTTTCGTCTCCCTGCCGCTAAGCCCTCTCTGACATGTTAGATGTTCAGAAAGCGCAATGTCCCATAACTTTCCTTAACCAATGATCACGGGATGGGGATCTGGATTTCCAGTGACTAGCAATGGAGATTTTAGCTGCTGCTTAGAACATAAATACAAGAGGATAGTGGTCAATGGTTGGGTTGTATTGCTTTCTAGAAAGTAATGCCAAATCTGGATCCATTGCCAAGGGTTGACCCACAATAATTGGAATTAGATTGAACACCTGGGTCCAGAAGTCATTGAGAATGCAGATACTGCCATGAAATTATTTAGTACCCTCTGCAAAGGAAAAGGGGCTTAGCTTGGATTGTGGAGCATCAGTAATATATAATCTGTGAAAATAGTCAGTTTACGCTCATCTCCTTGAACCCTGATGTCTTCAGTACCCTTGTGAGATGTTAGATTTCATGAGATGGAACTTTCCCTGCCTTTTTGACGATGGGTGTGGCTTACCCCAGAGCCATTTGTCCTGTACGCTATTTTCATCTATTAAACAATATTCACAAACCACTTAATCAGAAAGACCGAAACAATCTGTAATATGCATCATGATAAAAGATAAAATGGAAAACAAGTAGGCATAATAAAATGTAGCGATATAGAGATGAAGTAAAGATTTTTAGGAAAAAATGCACCCAATAAAATTACATGTATTGTTAATAATTTCTTGTAGATTTTAACAACTCCCATTGATAATAAAATGGTTGGTTTATTTTATGTTTTGCCACTTTAAAGGGAAATAAGAAAAATTTCAAAGCCCCTGACTCTTTTTTATCTTGGGAACAAGATTCATACTCAATGGGAGATTTACTACTTTTCATGCAGAAGGCCCCAGATCCAATATTTTTCCAAAAGGGTATGAGGTAGCTTAGCAGGACTGGTGAAGACATCAACCTGAGTCCCTGGAGAGGTGCTACAATTTGGAATAGACACCAAATGTATGACTCTTTAAAAGGCAGCTTAAGACAGGCATGCTCCTCAATAAAATATTCTAGTGGTGTTCAGAGTTATGCCTTGTGAAGCTGTTAATTTTTCAATTGACAGGAAGATTGTGAAGCCTCAAACTCTTCAGCTCACTTGCCTCTGTGCTCCTTCCTCAGTTTGTGGGCTGTAGCCAGACATTCATTCACAGTGGAATTACATCAATTAAAAGAATACAGAATTTTAATCTATGGTGATGAACTATGCCAAGATGTTGTTTGATTGCTAAAATTTTAGTTCGATGGAAAATGCAGTTTTGTAAACAGGCTCTAATGCCTCACTAACTTGGGGGCAGACATTCCCAGGATTCCTTGAAAGGGAGATATCAGACATTCAACTCTGCAGTGTAGACTTATTGGTCAAGTCAATGTAATAATACGTCTATAGGGTGGCACAATTATGTTCTTGGTTGCACAACTGTTGTGCTAGGTTATGTCTACTGAGGCTGGTTCTACCATTGGGCAAATGGAGGCGACCTTTTCTCAGGCAGCTGTATGGAGTGATGTTTGTTGTTGTTGTTGTTTAGTCGTTTAGTCGTGTCCGACTCTTCGTGACCCCACGGACCAGAGCACGCCAGGCACTCCTGTCTTCCACTGCCTCCCGCAGTTTGGTCAAACCCATGCTGGTAGCTTCGAGAACACTATCCAACCATCTCGTCCTCTCTCGTCCCCTTCTCCTTGTGCCCTCAATCTTCCCCAACATCAGGGTCTTTTCCAGGGAGTCTTCTCTTCTCATGAGGTTGCCAAAGTACTGGAGCCTCAGCTTCACGATCTGTCCTTCCAGTGAGCACTCAGGGCTGATTTCCTTCAGAATGGATAGGTTTGATCTTCTTGCAGTCCATGGGACTCTCAAGAGTCTCCTCCAGCGCCATAATTCAAAAGCATCAATTCTTCGGCAATCAGCCTTCTTTATGGTCCAGCTCTCACTTCCATACATCGCTACTGGGAAAGCCATAGCTTTTACTATACGGACCTTTGTTGGCAAGGTGATGTCTCTGCTTTTTAAGATGCTGTCTAGGTTTGTCATTGTTTTTCTCCCAAGAAGCAGGTGTCTTTTAATTTCGTGGCTGCTGTCACCATCTGCAGTGATCGTGGAGCCCAAGAAAGTAAAATCTCTCACTGCCTCCATTTCTTCCCCTTCTATTTGCCAGGAGGTGATGGGACCAGTGGCCATGATCTTCGTTTTTTTGATGTTGAGCTTCAGACCATATTTTGCACTTTCCTCTTTCACCCTCATTAAAAGGTTCTTTAATGTCTCCTCACTTTCTGCCACCAAGGTTGTGTCATCTGCATATCTGAGGTTGTTGATATTTCTTCCGGCAATCTTAATTCTGCCTAGGGATTCATCCAGCCCAGCCTTTCGCATTATGAATTCTGCATATAAGTTAAATAAGCAGGGAGACAATATGCAGCCTTGTCGTCCTCCTTTCCCAATTTTGAACCAACCAGTTGCTCCATATCCAGTTCTAACTGTAGCTTCTTGTCCCACACAGAGATTTCTCAGGAGACAGATGAGGTGATCAGCCACTCCCATTTCTTAAAGAACTTGCCATAGTTTGCTGTGGTCGACACAGTCAAAGGCTTTTGCATAGTCAATGAAGCGGAAGTAGATGTCTTTCTGGAACTCTCTAGCTTTCTACATAATCCAGTGCATGTTTGCAATTTGGTCTCTGGTTCCTCTGCCTCTTCTAAATCCAGCTTGCACTTCTGGGAGTTCTCGGTCCACATACTGCTTGAGCCTTCCTTGTAGAATTTTAAGCATAACCTTGCTAGCGTGTGAAATGAGTGCAATTGTGCGGTAGTTGGAGCATTCTTTGGCACTGACCTTCTTTGGGATTGGGATGTAGACTGATCTTCTCCAATCCTCTGGCCACTGCTGAGTTTTCCAAATTTGCTGGCATATTGAGTGTAGCACCTTAACGGCATCATCTTTTAAAATTTTAAATAGTTCAGCTGAAATACTATCACTTCCACTGGCCTTGTTATTAGCAGTGCTTTCTAAGGCCCATTTGACTTCATTCTCCTGGATGTCTGACTCAAGGTCAGCAACCACACTACCTGGGGTGTACGAGCCATCCATATCTTTCTGGCATAATTCTTCCGTGTATTCTTGCCACCTCTTCTTGATGTCTTCTGCTTCTGTTAGGTCCTTACCACTTTTGTCCTTTATTGTGGTAATCTTTGTACGAAATGTTCCTTTCATATCTCCAATTTTCTTGAACAGATCTCTGGTTCTTCCCATTCTGCTGTTTTCCTCTATTTCTTTGCATTGCTTGTTTAAGAAGGCCTTCTTGTCTCTCCTTGCTATTTTTTGGAAATCTGCATTCAATTTCCTGTATCTTTCACTGTCTCCCTCGCATTTTGCTTGCCTTCTCTCCCCCGCTATTTGTAAGGCCTCGTTAGACAGCCACTTTGCTTTCTTGCATTTCCTTTTCATTGGGATGGTTTTAGCTGCTGCCTCCTGTATAATGTTATGAGCCTCCATCCATAGTTCTTCAGGCACTCTGCCCACCAAATCTAAATCCTTAAACCTGTTTAAGTGATGTTTAAGGCACATCAAAGGGTTTTTATTGCTATTGCATTTTTACGGTCACATTATGCATTTTGTGTTTTTATGTTGTAAAGTGGCCTGTGATAGTCAGCTGAAGGGCGGTACATAAATTTAATAAAGAACAAAAAATAAATAATTATTTTATGAAGAAGCCTCTCCCAAGTATTTTTGTATAAAACATCAGCTGATGAGCACTGTTGAAATCTGTAATGCCTTTAAAGTTTATTTTCAGATGCAGCATCAATGGGAAGAGAAAATCAAACAGTGGTGACAGAATTTATCCTTGCTGGATTTTCTAATTTCCCAGACCTGAAGATTCCGTTGTTTCTGGTGTTCTCTCTAATCTACCTGGTAACTTTGATAGCAAATATAATCATCATCACTACAATACGGCTTAACCGCAGCCTCCACATCCCCATGTACTTCTTCCTCTCCATCCTCTCCTTTTCAGAAATCTGCTACTCACTTGTCATTATCCCCAATATGCTTGCAAATCTTCTAAGAGAAAAGAAGACCATTTCCTTCATTGGCTGTGCTACTCAGATGTGCATTTTCCTGGGCTTGGCAGGCACAAATTGTATGCTTCTAGCAGTGATGGGGTATGACCGATATGTCTCCATATGCAAACCTTTACGTTATCAGATTTTGATGAATCAAAGACTCTGCACCAAGCTGGTGGCTTGTTCAATATCACTTGCATTTATTTTTTCTATATCAGAGACTATTATCATATTTACCTTGCCTTTCTGTGGACCAAATAAAGTTAAGCACTTCTTTTGCGATTTAGCACCTTTGCTTGAATTAGCCTGCGGCCGAAACTACATAGGTGAAATTGTCATTTTCATTATTTGTGTTTTGGTTGTGATTTCTTCATTCTTGTTCATCCTTCTCTCGTACATTTTAATTGCAAACACTGTCTTGAAAATCCCCACAACGGCTGGGAAACGAAAAGCCTTTTCCACTTGTGCCTCCCATCTTATCGTGGTCGTGGTGCACTTTGGGTGTGCTGGCATTATCTATTTAGGGCCCAAATCCAGTTACACACTAGATGAGACTACTTTTATTTCCGTCTCTTACAATGGTGACTCCCTTGTTGAACCCCTTGGTGTACAGCCTGAGAAACAAAGATGTCCAAACAGCGCTTAAGAAATCACTTGGCAAAAGCTCTTGCACCCAAAGAATGTGAAAATTAAGCGTTATCCACTTTGAAGAGGAATTATGAAACCCAACAAATACTGTATCTGTTGTTTAATGGACAAAAAACGCCTCAAATAGTATTGTAGCCTTTTCTCATCTTTTTAAAAATTCATTTGTATGTGGAATATTCATTTGGAAAAATGTGGCCTTGCTTTAGCATTTACAAACAACTTTGATTTTCTCTTTAGTAAATCACTGGAAAATAAATTGGGTTGTGGGAATTTTCTCATAAATGAACCTGTAATCATTCAGCCCTGCAACAAAGGAAACTTTTCTAAAGATTATTGTTGTTTTCTCCCAAATCCTTGCCCACATTTTCTCTACCAATCATTCACGCAGAACTATTTCAAGCTCATATAGTGCTGAGACTGAAGTTTCAAAATTGTTCTTGTTGAATGGCTGGTACCCGTATACAGTGGTACCTCGGGTTACATACGCTTCAGGTTACAGACGCTTCAGGTTACAGACTCCGCTGATCCAGAAATAGTACCCCGGGTTAAGAACTTTGCTTCAGGATGAGGACTGAATCGCGTGGCAGCTGCGCGGCAGCCCTATTTGCTAAAGTGGTGCTTCAGGATAAGAACAGTTTCAGGTTAAGAACCGACCTCCGGAACGAATTAAGTACTGTATTTTTCGCTCTATAAGACACACCAGACCATAAGACGCACCTAGTTTTGGAGGAGGAAAACAAGAAAAAAAATATTCCGAATCCCAGAAGCCAGGACAGCAAGTGGGATCACAGCTTGCTGTCCTGGCTTATGGGATAGCAGCGCGCAGCTTCTCCTGGGCAGCGGCATGAATTCTCCCCCTGCCCAGGTCCCTGGCTGGTACCTGTATATTTCTTTTGGGGTCAGTTTGGGGTACGTATCTGTTTATCTTTGTGGATGTGGCTTTTTCTGCCCTTCCTTGTCCCCTGTGATGGTATTTTTTAAGGAGGCAATCTGCTTTTTCATCATCATCAAACCTTTTACTGACATCACATACAAACATTCATAGCTAATCAATACAGAATTCCCGCCATCCCAGTGACACAAAACATTTGGAGTCTGCTTTTTCAATGTTGGAATTCTTGTAACCAAACACACTTAATTTCTGCTCTTTTGCTTTCATGTGATTTGTTCTGACATTTGCTTTTTGTACAGTGTTGGCAAGAATGTAATAATATATTGTACACAAAATGGAGTATTGCTATTTTTCAATATGCATTTATTTTAGCATTCATATATATATATATATATATATATATATAAAATGGATAAGTAATTTGCAGTGCTATCATGTCTGAGTGGTCCCCTCACCCCCTGATTTTCTTGCACTGGACCACATGAGGTTGTTCCGTGGTGATTTCCCGCCTCCCACCAGTAGGAATAACGACACGTGACACAAATATTTAGGTTAATGGGCTAAAATAGGGCACAACTTTATTGGTTACAGGTAAAGAGCGGTATTGGCTTAGGCATTGGTCCTATCTGACTATCCGGCTTCAGCCTGTTTGCTTGAAGACCGGGAAGGGTTAACACCAGTGGGGGAGCCCTGCTGATGCACATCAACTAGGGACTCCCCCGGGATCACCGCTCGGGGGGGCGCTTTAGGCCCTGACCTCCATAGGCTTCAGACGAGGCCACACTCCCCGGAATACTTTACCGGACTACCCTTCAAAATTTGGGGGAGGTGATGGCGCTCCCCCCCCCCCCGCAACACATCTACATAACAATACCCCTACCAATGCCTAACCGCCAAAACCAAAGAAGTTGGGGCGGGAGGGGGATCCCGGGCTGTGCTTGCCTTAAATGAGGCAAGCCACACCCCCTGAGCCAGCCAATTGGCTGGCCATGGGATGACGCAGCCCAAGGATTCCCCTGATCGCGCGGGGCTGGAAGCCAGCCTTCGCACGCGTGTTGGGGGCGTGAAGCGCGCACCACCACCTCCTCCTGAGGTCGGAAGTGGCTTTGTCCTTCAGTTAGTATTCCAGAACAATGTAGCTGCCAGGCTGATTTTCCTTCTCTCAAAAATATGAAATATCTGAAGAAAGGTCCAACCTGATTCAGTAGTGTGGAAGAGGGTTGGCTGCAACTCTACTGTGTGGTGTGGTTGGGAGGGTATGGTCTGAATGGTGTCCATTCTTCAGCACCTTTTCCTCACTTCAGTCTGAGCAGAGCAAGCAAGTTGTTATCTGGGGAGAATGGGAATGGCAGGCAGTATTGAAAGAAGTTACTGGATTAATTGGTGTGTGTGTTTGTGTCTTTGTGTGTCAAGGAGGACTTCCCCTGTACGCGAAGACAGGCTCTGGTGGATTGAGCTGATGAGACCAATAGTGGCTTCAATAGCCAAGAAGGCAGTTTCTGCCAGAGGAGTCTATAGCTGGAAGTGTGAGGGCCTGGGCCTTGCCCCCTAGGCCAGCTGGTAAAGGCTTTGTAAGGGAGCAGGCCTTGCACTCCTCACCACAGCCAACGGTGACCCTTGGGTCCTTTTCAACTCTAAGATTCTATGGTTCCAACAACAACAATGGGAAAAAAGAACCATTCATGCAATGCTGCTCAAAACGTAGATGCCCAAGACAGTTGTTTACCATATAATATCAACTGTGAGTGACAAAACTTCTCCATATGTTTATTTGGGCTATGGGACAGTTGATGCTTGTTTGGCTCAGCATTGCCAAAGGATAGAAAGAGCTACCAAATGGAATAGAAACAGCCTGTTTTCGTCTCCCTGCCGCTAAGCCCTCTCTGACATGTTAGATGTTCAGAAAGCGCAATGTCCCATAACTTTCCTTAACCAATGATCACGGGATGGGGATCTGGATTTCCAGTGACTAGCAATGGAGATTTTAGCTGCTGCTTAGAACATAAATACAAGAGGATAGTGGTCAATGGTTGGGTTGTATTGCTTTCTAGAGAAAGTAATGCCAAATCTGGATCCATTGCCAAGGGTTGACCCACAATAATTGGAATTAGATTGAACACCTGGGTCCAGAAGTCATTGAGAATGCAGATACTGCCATGAAATTATTTAGTACCCTCTGCAAAGGAAAAGGGGCTTAGCTTGGATTGTGGAGCATCAGTAATATATAATCTGTGAAAATAGTCAGTTTACGCTCATCTCCTTGAACCCTGATGTCTTCAGTACCCTTGTGAGATGTTAGATTTCATGAGATGGAACTTTCCCTGCCTTTTTGACGATGGGTGTGGCTTACCCCAGAGCCATTTGTCCTGTACGCTATTTTCATCTATTAAACAATATTCACAAACCACTTAATCAGAAAGACCGAAACAATCTGTAATATGCATCATGATAAAAGATAAAATGGAAAACAAGTAGGCATAATAAAATGTAGCGATATAGAGATGAAGTAAAGATTTTTAGGAAAAAATGCACCCAATAAAATTACATGTATTGTTAATAATTTCTTGTAGATTTTAACAACTCCCATTGATAATAAAATGGTTGGTTTATTTTATGTTTTGAAATACCGTGGAGATAATATCTGGTGGGATTTATAATCATGTTTACATTGTTCCATGCTCAGTAGAAACATCATAAAAGGGATATTGTGGCAAACTGCTGTCATTTGGAAGAGCTCAACATCCATCGTGCTTCCTTGTAAGTCTATTGTTGTTTGAGGTTCTGAAGCTTTGATTTGAATTCTTTCATTCAGCCCTTCAGATGCTCTTGTCCAGGGATCAGCAATCATTTTCAGCAGGGGGTCAGTCCACTGTCCATCAGACCTTGTGGTGGGCCGGACTATATTTTTTGGGGGGGAGGGGATGAACGAATTCCTATGCCGCACATATAATCCAGAGATGCATTTTAAATAAAAGCATACATTCTGCTCCTGTAAAAAGATGCTGATTCCCAGACTGTCTAAGGGCCAGATTTAGAAGGCAATTGGGCTGGATCTGGCCCCTGGGCCTTAGTCTGCCTACCCATGCTCTTGTCTATACCACTTTAAAGGTAAATAAGAAAAATTTCAAAGCACCTGACTCTTTTTTATCTTGGCCACAAGATTCATACTCAATGGCAGAGTTACTGTTTTTCTTGCACAACGCTCCAGATCCAATATTTTCCTGAAGGAGTATGAGGTAGCTTAGCAGGACTTGTGAAGACTGCAACCTGAGACGCTGCAGAGGTGCTACAATTTGGAATAGACACTGACTGCATGACTGTTTAAAAGGCAGGTTAAGATAGGCATGCTCCTCAATAAAATATTCTAGTGGTGTTCAGAGTTATGCCTTGTGATGCTGTTAATTTTTCAATTGACAGGAATATTGTGAAGCCTTAAACTCTTCAGCTCACTTGCCTCTGTGCTCCTTCATCAGTTTGTGGGCTGTAGCCAGACATTCATTCACAGTGGAATTCCATCAATTATAAGAATACAGAATTGTAATCTATGGTGATGAGCTATGCCAAGATGTTGTTTGATTGCTAAAATTTTAGTTCGATGGAAAATACAGTTTTGTAAACTGGCTCTATTGCCTCACTAAGTTGGGAGCAGACATTCCCAGGATTCCTCGAAAGGGAGATATCAGACATTCAACTCTGCAGTGTAGACGTGTTAGTAAAGTGAATGTCATAAAAGGTCTAAGGGGTGACACAATTATTTTGCTGGTTGCACAACTGTTGTGCTAGGTTCGGTCTACTGAGGCCGGTTCTACCATTGGGCAAATGGAGGCGGCCTTTTCTCAGGCAGCTGTATGGAGTGATGTTTAAGGCACATCAAATGGTTTGTTATTGCTATTGCATTTTTACGGTCACATTATGCATTTTGTGTTTCTATGTTGTAAAGTGGCCTGTGATAGTCAGCTGAAGGGCAGTACATAAATTTAATAAAGAACAAAAAATAAATAATCATTTTATGAACAAGCCTCTGCCCCAGTATTTTTGTATTAAACATCAGCTGACGAGCACTGTTGCAATCTGTAACATCTTTAAAGTTCATTTTCAGATTCTACATCAATGGGAAGAAAAAATCAAACAATAGTGACAGAATTTATCCTTGTTGGGTTTTCGAATTTCCCAGACCTGCAGGTTATGTTGTTTCTGGTGTTCTCTCTTATGTACCTGGTAACTTTGATGGGAAATATAATCATCATCACTACGATACGGCTTAACCGCAGCCTCCACATCCCCATGTACTTCTTCCTCTCCATCCTCTCATTCTCAGAAATCTGCTACTCACTTGTCATTATCCCCAATATGCTTGCAAATCTTCTAAGAGAAAAGAAGACCATTTCCTTCATTGGCTGTGTTACTCAGATGTTCCTGTTCCTGGGCTTTGGGTGTACAAATTGTATGCTTCTAGCAGTGATGGGGTATGACCGATATGTCTCCATATGCAAACCTTTACGTTATCAGATTCTGATGAATCAAAGACTCTGCACCAAACTGGTGGCTTGTTCAGCAACAACTGGATTTCTTTTTTCCACCTCAGAGACTATAATCATATTTACCTTGCCTTTCTGTGGACCAAATAAACTTAAGCACTTCTTTTGTGATTTATCACCTTTGCTTGAATTAGCCTGTGGCCGAAACTACATCGGGGAAATTGTCATTACCCTTATTTCTTTTTTGGTTGTAATTTGTTCATTCCTGTTCATCCTTCTCTCGTACATTTTAATTGCAAACACTGTCTTGAAAATCCCCACAACGGCTGGGAAGCGTAAAGCCTTTTCCACTTGTGCCTCCCATCTTATCGTGGTCGTAGTGCACTTTGGTTGTGCTTCCATTATCTATTTAAGGCCCAAATCTAGTTACACGCTAGATGAGACTACTTTTATTTCTGTCTCTTACACAATGGTGACTCCCTTGTTGAACCCCTTGGTGTACAGCCTGAGAAACAAAGATGTTCAAATAGCACTTAAGAAATCCCTTGGCAAAAGCTCCTGCACCCAAAGAATGTGAAAATTAAGCGTTATCCACTTTGAAGAGGAGTTATGAAACCCAACAAATGCTGTATCTGTAGTTTAATGGACAAAGAACACCTCAAATAGTATTGTAGCCTTTTCTCATCTTTTTAAAAATTCGTTTGTATATGAAATATTCACTTGGAAAAATGTGGCCTTGCTTTAGCATTTACAAACAACTTTGATTTTCTCTGTAGTAAATCACTGGAAAATAAATTGGGAATTTTCTCATAAATGAACCTGTAATCATTCAGCCCTGCAACAAAGGAAACATTTCTAAAGATGACTGTTGTTTTCTCCCAAATCTTAGCCCTCATTTTCACTACCAAACATTCAGGCAGAACTATTTCAAGTTCATATAGTGCTGAGACTGAAGTGTCAAAATTGTTCTTGTTGAATGGCTGGTACCCGTATATTTCGGTTGGGGTCCATTTCTGCCTATCTTTGTGGAGGTGGCTTTTTCTGCCCTTCCTTGTCCCCAGTAATTGCTATTTTTAAAGAGGGGATCATATCTGTTGCTTTTTCAAAGGTTGGAATTTATGTAACCAAACACACTTGATTTCTGCTCTTTTGCCTTCATGTGGTTTTTTTCTGACATTTGCTTTCTGTAACGTGTTGGCAAGGACGTAACAATATATTGTATGCAAAATAGAGCATTGTAATTTCTCAATATGCATTTATTTAGCATTCATATTCATATAATTTAAACCTCACACTTTAATTTCTTTCAGAACCATGCCCAAAGAAAGGCTATACCAGTGGTGGCGAACCCATTGAACCCCATGCGAGGGGGGTGGCAGTTTCAGCTTAGGAGCACTTTGCTGCCTTCAGGTAGTGCTGGGGCTCTCAGATGCAGCTTTTGGGCTGCCTCCACCTTCCCCAACCTCAGCAACTATTAGCCTGGCTGCCTTCAGGTTGCAGAGGATCTGATGCGGAGGTGGGAGCTCGTTAGACGACTCCCTTGAGGGGAGTGCAGCCACAAACCCCTCAATGGAAAGTGTGATGGAGCCTGCACCTCCCCAGCTGAGCAGCCCCGATCCAGCTCCTGTTCCCGTGCAAGCAGCAACGCTCCTTAGCAGAGCAGCCTGATCCCACTTGCACTTGCCTGCAAGCAGGAGCAGGCTGGAGGGGGTGTGGCACCAACATCCCTTGTCTGCTCGCTTGCCGCCCCGGTCCAGCCTTCCCTCAGCACCGGGGCTGCAGGAGTTGGAGGGGGTAGTTGATGTTGTGGCGGCGGTGGCGGAGGGACCCAGCGCTGGAGGGTGGCAGAGGCCTACTTGCTTGCCGCCCAGCCCGCCTTCCCTCACTCTCATAACAGAAGTGTGGCACTCAGAGTGGAAGTTATACTCAGAACAGAGCATGTTCCGCTTCCGAAAAAGGTTTGAAAACCAGAACACTCATTTCCGGGTTTGAAGTGTTCGGGTTCCAAGTAGTTTGAGTTTGAGAACTAAGCTGTTCGAAAACTGAGGCACCACTGTATGCTCCACTCTCTCTCCACACAGATGCGCCACTCTTCCCTTCTAAACTAAAACCTCAGTATTCAGGTTAAATTGCCGTGTTGGCACTTTGCGATAAATAAGTGTGTTTGGGGTTGCAGTTTGGGCACCCGGTCTCTAAAAGGTTCGCCATCACTGCCATATGGAATTGAACTTCTGCATGCAGAGCATGTGCTCCACCAAAGAGTTATGAGCTACAGGGGTGAGGGCGGCTAGCCAGGTTTTTTTGCCCTGGGTGAGGCCTCCAGGGGAGCGCCATTAAGACTCCCAACATATTTGTATGTGTGCGTGCAAATGTTCATGGGGAGGTGGCAAACTGTGTCTTTGACCCAGGGGAAATAAAGCCTAGTTTCTCCCATGCTTAAACATAAAATAAGATTCCAGTCCTCACAGTCCCAAAGGGTTGATTTAAATGAGAACACAGGATGCTGTCTTCTACTGACTCAAACCACATTGGCTCATCTAGCTCAGTATGGTCAACACTGACTGTCACGGTCCGGTTTACGGGCGGTCAAAGGATGTCGGGACCAGGGGCAAGATGGCGGGGTGGGAGCAGGAATGGGAGTCCGGAAGCCAGGAGTCCGGAAGCCAAGGGTCTGAGGGTCAGAGAGCCGGGAGTCCAGAAGCCAAGGCTCCGAGGGCCAGGAAACCAGGAGTCAAGGAGCCAAGGGTCTGAGGATCAGGAAGCAAGGAGTCAAGAAGCCAAATGTAGCAAGGCAGGAAGCGTGTTGCTGTGGCAAAGAGCCAAAGGGAAATGCTGACCTTATATCCCTTCCCGGCTCTTGCCACCAGGTGCTGTGAGTTACCAATAGGCCTCACCTGTGTGGACGTGCCTTGCCTCTTCAGAACAAACTTAGGAAAGCCCCAGTCCTGCGAAGCCCTACCGGTCACAGGGCCTGGCTCCTGCAGGCACTCCTGACACTGACTGGCAGAAGCAGTTCTCTAGAGGGATTCTATCAGGGGGCATTCCCAGCCCCGCCTGCAGATCCTATTGGGGATTTCACATGCAAAAACACATGCTCTACAACTGAGCAATGGTCCTTTGCCAACCTGGACAGCAGTATGCAGCTGGTGGTTCTGGTTACCAGTGCAACATGCAAACATCCATACCTTGTTCATCTAGGGATTTCTCTTCTTCCTTGAAGACATTACAGCAGCCCTCAGGGACAGGAAGCCCCACTCCCTTTCTGCTCCCCTGGCCCTGCATCAGAATGCTAAAGAGGTCCCACTTTACAAACTATTTTGGTCTTGGCTGGAGGGAAATTCACTCATGGCCATTTTTGAGAATTCAAAAGTTGCAGTCTACACTTACAAGGGCAAAGGACCCACTTCCCAGCAAATAACTCACCAGGTGCTCCCCCATCCTTCTGAAGGTATGAGCCACAGAATGACCCTATTCCCTGTGAATGGCTTCCTGATGGTGGACCTCCCAGGGAGACATGAGGAAGTGTCATCATGACCAATAGTGTCTTTCCACTTCTGCAAGCTCAGGTCCGCGACATCGAAGAGGTTGTCCTGCAGCAAGGAGGGGTCTGCCTTGGACCACAGATCCAGGGACTTGGTTCTTATGCAGAGGAGAGGACAAGCTGAGGTGTCATAAAAGAGTCTGTGCTAAACGTCTCTAGCCTCCTAAATTGATTATGGGCCTCTCTTGGGGTTCAGCTTTTTAGCAGGGGAAGGAAGGAGATATGTATTTCCCTCGTTACACATTGCCAGTGGATGAACACTGTTGTGTATTGAGTCAAAGGATTTTATATCTGTATTATTATTGTCTGTATTTGCATTAGGGTAAAGTAACTGCCTTTTGGTTCTAGAGGGTACAGCTACTATTGGTTCATTTAAGCTGCTGTATTTGGATCCTCTGTCTTATTAGTTCCCTCCAAAAGGCAGGACTGTGATTGCCTGATATTGTTCCCTCCAAAATGTATCCTTTCTTGCTAGTTCCCTGTCCCTATAAATGTAGCTTTCCTCTCCCCAGTCTTTAGTCTTGTGCTTTAATGAAGAAGTGTTACTAGAGAACTGTCTCCAGCATGTTATATCAGGAGAGCTGAAATCACAAACCCCACGTCACAACAACTGGCGACGAGGATGGGATCCGGAATGCTGAGGAGCGGTTAAACGCAGCCCTGCCTCAGAGTCCGGATTGCAGCTAAGAACAAGACTCACTGACCAGCTGAGAAGACGACCCTGCCACAGGACAATGGAGAGTCCAAGGGTATTGGAGCCCTTCCAGCCATCAGAGCCCGACACGTGGGAAGACTACGTCGAACGCTTCGAGTTCTTCGCAGAGGCTCAAGGGATCACCGATGCCAGCAAAAGAAGGGCCACATTCCTGAGCTACTGTGGGCCTGAGACCTTCAAGCTGGCCAAGGCATTGCTTGCTCCAGCGAAGCTAAGTGAGACATCTCTCAAAGATATTCTTGCCTGCCTAACAAGCCACTTGGCGCCTACTGAGACCAAGATGGCTCGGCGGATGGAGTTTCATAAGAGGCAGCAGCATGCTGGGGAGTCTGTATCTGCATTTCTGGCTGAACTGCGGAAGCTCGCTCAGCACTGCGACTTCCAAAATCTAGAAGAGACTCTCCTGGATCGGTTTATCGGTGGTCTGAGCAGCAAGAAGGCCAGAAGACGCATCGTGGCTAAAGAAGAGGTTACCCTTGCTTCAGCCTTGAAGGAGGCCACCACCACGGAGAATTATGAAAGAGAGGAGCTTGATGCCAGTCGCAAGGCCCCTAAGCCACAGATAGAAGTTGCGCATGCCATGGACGAGCTAGAGGCTACTCCGAGCCAGAGCCCAGTCCGTGGGGTCGAGTCAGTGAGTCAGGCCTGCACAGTGCACAAAGATCACCGAGGCAGGTGCCCAGGTTGTGGCGGAAACCATGAGCGGAAGAGTTGTCGTTTCCGGGATGCTATGTGCCGGACGTGCGGGAAGACAGGTCACATCGCCAGAGTCTGTAGATCGGCGGCGTTGGGAGCGACAGGAGCACCTAGACCGGAGCATCGCAGACCGCCCGCAGCAACCCATTTTCTAAAGGACTGCCACTACGTTACGGAGATCAACGGGAGGGTCGTGCAGTTTCCAGCACAAGGCAAGGCACACGTCAAGGTGAAGATTGAGGGTCAGCAGTGCGACATGGAGGTGGACTCCGGATCTGGATTCACTATCGTGTCGGACCAGACCGCGAGGACATTCTTCCCCAGGGGTAAGTTGCCCCCTCTGGAACCCTTCCCGGCAACCTTGCAGTCATACTCAGCGGGCCGCATCCATGTTATGGGAATGTGTGCCGTGAGAGTACAGTTCCGGGACAAACAGGCTGTACTCAAACTGGTGATTGCGAAGGGCAGTCGCCCCAGTCTCCTGGGCACTGACTGGTTCCCCGCCCTGGGACTGAGTATATCAGGGCTTAATTCAATCCAAACCTGCCCTGAGATGAGCGAGGCATTATGCAAAGAATTTGCTGGTCTCTTTAATGGAAAACTGGGTTGTTATAAAGGGCCCCCAGTTGACTTCGAGTTGGACCCTGGGGTGGCCCCAATCCGACTCAAACCAAGGCGAGTGCCATTTGCACTGCAACCCAAGATCGAAGCAGAGCTGGATAAATTGGTCAAGCAGGGAGTTCTCTCACCCGTGGACTCTGCTAAGTGGGAGACTCCAATCGTCACGCCCTTAAAGCAAATGGGGAAGTCAGGATCTGTGCAGATTACAAATGTACTATCAATAAGGCACTCAGGGGAAACTCATACCCCATTCCAGTCGTATCACATCTGTTGGCTAAACTGGCTGGGGGCAAGGTGTTCGCCAAAATTGACCTGGCACAAGCTTACCAACAGCTGCCAGTAACCTCACAATCAGCGGAAGCACAGACTATTGTCACACATAAAGGGGCGTTCAGAGTTAACAGATTACAATTTGGAGTTTGTGTGGCCCCAGGGATTTTTCAAGGGCTCATGGAACACCTGTTAAGAGGTCTGCCGGGGTCTTGCCATTTTTTGATGACGTTTTGATTGCTGGAAAAGACCCACAGGAACTGGTTACGCGTGTTCGTGCAGTGTTGCTCAAGTTCAAGGAGGTGGGGTTGCAACTGAAAAAGGAAAAATGCAGTTTTGGGGTGCCAACTGTAGATTTCTTGGGGTTTAAAATTGATGCATCAGGCATCCACCCCACAGATGCTAAGATTAAGGCCATCGTTGAGGCGCCACGACCACAGAACAAGACGGAGTTGCAGTCATTCCTGGGACTTATTAACTTTTATCATTCGTTCTTACCCCAGAAAGCTTCGGTAGCTGAACCATTACATAGACTGTTGCAGAAAAAGACTGTGTGGCGATGGGGGCAGGGGCAGCAGAAGGCTTTTGACTCCTTGCGAGGAATGCTGAGTAGCAGGAGTGTCCTTGCTCATTATGACGAGTCAAAGCCTCTGGTCCTGGCATGTGATGCCTCTCAATACGGCCTGGGGGCGGTGCTAAGTCATAGGGAACCGGATGGGTCGGAAAAGCCCATCTCTTTCTATTCCCGTACGTTGTCACCCACGGAGCGCAACTATGCTCAAATTGACAAAGAGGCGCTTGCAATTGTGGCAGGAATCAAAAGTTCCATGATTATGTGTACGGTCGCCATTTCTACATTGAAACGGACCACAAGCCACTGTTAGGGTTGTTCAACCCGAACAAACAAACGCCACAAATTCTCTCCCCAGAATGTTACGTTGGTCTATATTCCTGAACGGGTTCCAGTACACCTTGACCCATGTGCCGGGAAACGGTTGTGCCACGCGGATGCGCTGAGTCGATTGCCCTTCCTGGCGGGAGCACTGAGGATCCTGCTACAGCGGAGCACATAATGATGCTGGAAACACTTCCGGGGCTCCTGTAACGGCTACTGATATAGCTGAGAAAACGAGGAAAGATGCTGTTCTCTCCCGTGTGCTCACTTGGGTGGGGAGGGGTGGCCAGGTGGTCCGCATGAAGACAAATTCAGGCCTTATGCGACTAGGCAGCACGAGTTGTCCATGCATAAGGGTTGTCTCCTGTGGGGAGATAGGGTCATCATTCCAGCACCACTGAGAAACAGGGTTCTTGAGACGCTTCACATGGGACACCCGGGAATGGTCAGGATGAAGTCGCTAGCCCGATGTTATGTGTGGTGGCCTGGAATGGACCAGAACATAGAACAATGGGTACGAACATGCAAGGCATGCCA